CTGGGTTGATGCTCTAGTACATGGTTAAGTGCACTGGATGCCGTTGAATTTACTCATGATTTCTACATGTAAATCTCCTCCAACCTGGTAAGTAAGATGGAAATATATCGACACATGTTACTGGTCTCAATGCCACCCCACTTGGTCCTACTCCCAAGCCATTGCCATACTGCTTCATCATCGTCTAGATCAATCTCCTGCCCATCTGCCTCTAGAAGCTCTCCCATGATAGCAGTTGCCTGCCCTGGTATGAACTGGAGCCCGGCGGCATATGCTTCTGCAACCAGCTCTGGGCATAAGCAGTCTTGTGCCTTTACCTCTTGGAACTGCTCCCCTTCACCTCCGATAAACCTCCATCGCCCACATATCTCCTGCGGCAGTCCACATCGGAAGCAACCGCTGAACCTTTCCATCTTCTTCCCCTGGAAGTACTCCTTCTTCACCGATCTGATCCATTCTCGGAGACTGGCCCCTTGCTCGCTCTCTAGTAAACCGCACACCCTGACACTGTGATCATTCCCCCCGCATAGGAAGCATCGGTCCATCCACTCTACTAGCTGCCGCCGGAAATACTCTGCCTCCTCTGCATCCTTCCTGACGTGCTCGGCCCTGAGCCGCATAGCTGATGCACTCTGCTGCTGCTGCTGCCTGAACATCCCTCGTGTGCTTGGGGTCCCCTCTTCCTCTCCATCACCTGACCCTGGCCCTTTTGATTGCTTGGCACTGGCACATGCATCGCATGCTGCCTCGCCTGCCTCGCATGGCCCCGGCCCTGACCCGTCCATCACCTCATCTAGCAGAAGACGTCGGCAGCTGGGTCCTTGCGTAAACGCCAGCATGCCCGTGTCCACACCCTTCTGTGCTGCTCCTCCTGACCCTCCGCCCTCCATTACATCTCTTGGGCTAAGGAGAATGGCCTGGCTTGGCTGCCCATCCCGCCCCGCTCGCCCGCTCTCCTGCACATAGTCCCGGAGCTGTCGCGGGGGCCCCATGTGCAGCACTACCCGCACAAACGGCACGTCGATCCCCAATCCTAGCGCATTTGTTGCTGCAATCAGCCCGCCCTGCTTCTTCCACTGCTGCATCTTCTCCATCTTTGCCTCCTGCGTCCCTATCTTACTGTGGAAGATCTCACATCCAAGCGCTGCCCCGACCCTCTCCACGGCTGCAATCGTCTGCGCGTAGATGATCATACGACCTGGGTTCGCCTGTGCCTCCCACTGTGCTACCATGCTCCTGGCCTGGTCGAGCCCGGGCATGTCGCCATCACCTTCTTCCTTGCCGCTCCTGCCGCCCTGGTGCGTTTCTAGCCCTACTACCGAGTATGCAATGTTCTTCCGCCGCGTTGGGCCGCGGTATATGTACGCCTGGCGCCTCGTGATCTGCGCTCTGTGGAGGAACATATTCTCATCCCTCGGCGGGAGTGTCGCCGTCAGAAACACCAGCTGCACCCCCCATGACTGCAGGATCCCCCCTAGTGCTGCCAACGCTGGCCGGAACCGCCCGACTCCGTCCAGGACCACGTGGCACTCGTCCAAGACCACCCGGTCCAGCAGCTGCCGTACCTGTAGCCGCCGGATGAAGTCCTGGAACCCCTTCGTGATCGCCGACTCGGGCGTCACGAACACCAGACTGGCGATCCGGCTCGGCCCCTGGCTCTGCCATATGTGCGTCGAGATCCCGGCTTCTTCGCACCGCTCGTACATGTCTGTACGCAGTGTAACAAGCGGTATAACCACCACCGTTACCCCATCCGGCGAGCAGTGTGCCGGCAGCATAAACGTCAGGCTCTTGCCCCCGCCCGTGCCTGTAATATACACCACCGGGCTGGCCCCTGCCATGATCGTTCGGATTACCTTCTCCTGCTGGCCCCGGAACGCCGCATCTGGCCCTAGCATCGCCCGGAGCTGCCCGTGTACAGATACCTGCTGTAGCCGGTGGAAGCGCTGGTACCGACCGCTCTCCTGCTGTAGCTCCGCTGCCTCCAGCGTCCGCTTCATCTCTCCGGCCACTGCCCGTCCTCTCTCGTGCGTGTCGAACCCCAGTAACCGATGCCACCGCTGGCTGATCCGCTGGAACCTGATCTGCTGCTGCGCTGTCCCGAATGTCGGCTGCTGGAGCTCTCGCGCATATATCATACCGGCGATGTGGCTCCCGTGCCCTGCCTGGATGTCTAGTATATGGTCTGATGTGGTACCGTTAACATCGTCCTCCTCCTCATCCTCTACACTTCCAGTATCCTCTTCTATACGGAAAGCCTCGTTTAGATAGCGGTTGGCGATAGCAATGGCGATATGCCGCCAGCTGATGATGGTGAGCGTGGTCCCCATGCACCGTTCGCTCTGCCGCTGGAGAATCCGCCGCATATGATCCGGTGACCATACTGACTCGGGCTCTGGTGCCGCCTGTGCGGATCCGTCCGTGTTGGCCGCCCTCTTTATCACCTCGTCCGCCCAGAGAAATACACTGGGTCCACCACTGCGCTGCCAGATGATACCCTGTACCTTCCGCCAGAACGGTAGAACCAACCACATATACCATACCAGCAGAGAACCAACTGCGCGTGGTAGATAGCGGTAGATCACCTTGTTGCGACCGCTGATCCTGATGTTCTTATGGTATGCCGTTACGAAGAATACCATGCCCTGGTTGCAGAAGATGTTGCGTAGCCCGCCATTGGCTGTGTTCCACATCCGCACCCCAGCAATCTCCGTTGCACGCGCCGGCATCGACAGCATGTGCATCAGCAAGAATATCCGCTCCCGGAACTGTAATAATGTATCGGTATACTGGTGAATGGCGCTTTGTTTGAGTGGGTGCTCTTTGTTACTAGCGCTTGTGCTGATCCATGTCTTCTGGAGTGATGTGGACTGCACGAGCTGTTTGAACACCCAGCCACCCCCCGCCTGCAGCCATGTGTTACGCTGGTCATCCTCGAACTGCTCCCATCTGATCTCTGGGAGTCCGTCTACCGTACCTGGGGGGTTTAGCGTTAGTGCCCCGAGCAGCTTCTCCGCCTCTTGCACGAGCGTGTGTAGCATCTCCGCCAGCTGCGGCACCCGGAACCGGATTGTCTGGTAGCTCACGCGATCATCTAACCACTCGATGCTGCCGCTGCCCGGTGTGTTATATCGGATGTTCATCCCGTATGCTCGTGCCTCGAAGATCCAGTCTAGTGGTGTCGGCTCGGCCGTGGGCCCCCCGTGCACCCGTACCATGAACCGTGCCATCTTGCCGCGCAGTATGCGGAACACGCTCTCCGCTTCCTCATAGGCATCATGTGCCTCCATCGCCTGCGAGTGCTGGATCACCTGCGCCTCCCGCTCACAGTATGACTGATATAGCACGAGCATCCGTGCTACCTTGATCACGGCTGAGTAGATCGATGTGTAGTTAAGCACGGACTCCCACCCTCCATCTTGCCGGATGCCCATGACGGCCAAGCAGCTCACCAGCACGTTTCGGTATGCATCCCCCTTCAGTGCATGATCAAACCAGCTGATTAGTAGGGTTAGGCATAGATCCTGTTCATCCTGGCTGGGTTGATCACCCTGCTGCCTATCCTCGCTAGACATAGCCTCGATGAATGTATCCCAATGATCGCCTTGTGCTGTTGTGAAGATGAATGGCGGTCGCTCATCATCAGCCATCTCATCTACACGATAGATGATGCATAGTATCTGTCGGAACACATCCCTATACCGCTTCCAAGTATCCTCCTCCATTCTACTGTTAAATGGCCGATTAGGCTTCCCTTCTAGAGCGGTTCGGGCCACCTCGAATAATGCAGCCTTGCCCACCTTGGCGGCTGTCGCAGTTGCCCGTGCCTGGTTGAGCACATACTCCATCACTTTCCATGCTGACTGCAGTGCTGTCTCCTCCTCCCGGATATCCTGCCTTGTACTGTAGAGCTTGGTAACAGATAGCCCCTGGAGATGCGTTGCCCAGCCAACAAACTCGAGCCATCCGTTGGATTCAAGCCGGTCATCACCAACCTGGATGATCATTCGTGTCTCCTGCGCCTCCTTCGCTGCCTCCTCCCTAAATAGCTCCTGAACTCTTTCAATCGCTGCTTCTGTTTGGCCGGTATGGTCAGGGCTAGCAGTCTCTCCACCTGAGCCAACACGGAACCAGCTGCTCGCAGCCCTTCGGATAAAGAACCGCTGGCAATGCACACCGCTTATCCATGGCTGATCGCGAGCCTCTGCTGCTTTTTTCCTGATGTTACCACCCTTCTTCCAATTACTGATCCATTGGTGTGCTTTCCTGCAATGGTCTCGTATCCCAACCTCTGTACAAGCAATATATGGGCACTGCTTGCATTGCTTCCCATCTGTTCTTGGCGGGGAGATATATGGTACTGGCTCTGCGATATATATTGGTAATGGATATCTACGTAGTTCTTCTTGATCCTGTAGAAGCCCATCTATGGCTTGGATAGCTGCCTTGATTTCTCTTCTCTGGGATATTGTGAATAATGGGTGTTGAGCTTGGAGATGTGTTTCCACTTCCTTGGTAACGCATGCATAACTGCACTGCTTGCAGATAATAAATGGATATTGTATAAGATGGATAAATGGCTCCATTATGTTCAGTATAATACTATAGATTATAAGGTATTAAGGTTGAATATGTTAATAAAGCAGGTTTCGAAGGTAGTAGATAGTGCGGCTGAGGATCTCGATGAGGCCTGGTTTAACTAGGCGTTTGGTTGAGGCCTCACCGACATACCGGGTGAATGATATTCCTGGCGGGAATATCGGAAATATCGGTTAAATACTGGGTAAATAGCTATCTTTTGTGGGTCCCTGAAAATTATTGACCAATTAATCAACACATCCTACTCAACACATCCTACCCCCTACTTTTTAGTAGCGCGAAAATTCACCCACCAAATTTCAACACATCCTAGTAGGATGTGTCGTGGAATTACTGTTAGGAGCTCACATTCGTAGAATTCTGCGATGGAATTAAGTATGCGAATCCTTGTTTCAGCTTCATCATATAACATTGGCTGGCTCCCCTCCAATACCACGTTTGCGTGTGAAAGGTACCTAATGCATATGTTTCGGTTTTCTTCGTAATTTTCGGATGGGTACATATTGGCCACAATTTTGAGTGCCTTGCTGCTAAATTGACCAATAGTATCCCTGCTAGCAAGCCATTTTCGCGTCGCTAACTGTATAAGACGGTGCATATTAAAGCCACCATCGGTGTTCTCCGTCACAAAAGAGAAAGCTTTGAGAAGGCCCATCGCGTCTAGAAGTTCCATCTCATTCGTCGTGCCACTTTCACTCTCTTTCTCACTATAATATGAGATGAACTCTTCTGGAATATCTTGCCGATCCAGAAGGCTCATGAAAGAGAGAAGTTCACTAGCCAATGGGTGCTGCCTCTCAATCTGCTGAAATGAAAGCATCCATGTTCGTATCACTGCCTTTGGTGTCTGCGAGTCTCGTCCAGCTGTCTCGAACTCCTTGCTGAGGAGGTGTGTCATCTTATTCTCACAGTCGCTATCACCTAGTAGCTTGAGGTATTTCTTAATCGTGATTGTAGTTTCTTTGATATATGCTGCTGCCTGGGCTAATGCCAGGGGAAGATGTTCCAGGTAAGAGGATAGTGCTGATAGGTCAGCACTGGTTGTCTCTGCATCGTCCAGACTTGAACGAAGCAGCTTCACCGCCTCAATGTCATTCATACGAGGTACTTCAATGAAGCCTCGCCCTTTCGTCAACCTCACAGCTGCTTGCTTATTTCTTGTCGTGATAAGCAAAGAGCCATGAGGACATTCTGGTAGATATTGTGAAAGATTCTTTGGCTCGGTGGTATCTGTCACGGTTTCGGATGGTTGGCCAAAGAATAGCTCTACATCATCGGCATTATCAATGATCATGATCCACTCTCCATGAGTCTTCTCCATGAGCCAATTCTTTACTAAGAGCAGCAAATCTTGCTTTGGATCTTCAAAGCCTGGAATCTCAAATGCCTGTGCAATAGATGCAAAGGCTTGCCGAAAGCGTTGGGTGCTACTAGCATGAACCCAGAGAATGGAGATATTTGAGCGTGTTTGTTGCAGCCGGAGGGCAAATTCCAGCGCAATCTGCGTTTTCCTGTTCCATGTTAGTCATTGTGATGTAAGTTTGATTGGGTAGCCTACCCAGTCCCTCCTAATCCATAGAGTGCTACTCTAGTTTGCACAAGGCCAGATGTTTCTTGTGTAAACTTCAACTGGCTTGTCAACCAATTCAAAATTTCAGTACGCCCCACGAAATCAGGATTCTTTGTGTATGGTATAATGTCTAACAGGTATGTTAGCGTTGATATTCCTAAGTGTGCCTCTCCTTTTACTTCCATTTTGTAGTCAGGCTTGCTTGGTAGATGCTTTCTTTAGGTGATGCGATGGTAGAAGGTGACCAGAAGTCTAATAAAGCTTTGGTGCACGCCGCTGCTGTTGCAGCAGCATATCTTTGCCAGACTTTCGTCTTATGGCTGTCAGCATAGTCACAGGCACCCTTGATCACCATACAAGGGAACGTGTCCCAAACTCCGGCACCTTCCATCTCAAAACCAACGACACCCTCTTGTTTTGATATATCGTCGCGCTCCACACCACACTTCATCACTGCATCGCCAGAGGCAATCAAGCCGAAATGTATTGCCGGCTGTGGTATATCTTGGGAATGGCGAGCACGGACAACCAGCTCTCCACTACATCCGCATTCCTCACACCTATTACCATCGCTGACATGACGGTACATAGCCTTGAATAGCTTGTCATATTGAACACCGGGGTACTCTGCTTCCAGCTCAGGTTCGTTCCGAAGACTATTCAGATAACTTATAGTTTTGGTTCTCAATCCTTTTCGACCCCGGATGCCCTCGCGTTTCGCTAGAAAGGAGCGAATTTCTCCGCTAGGCCTACCAAGATCTTCCGAGACTGTATCTTTGCGGATGAACTGTCCCGGGAGTCGATGCCCGAGGTCATATTGAACAATTCCTCTGCTCACAATTACATCTCCGAGGTAGATGTCAATATTGCTCTTAGGTATAAAGGGTACCGCACCACATATACCGACGACAAGAGCGAGCTTGATGTTAGGGAAACTAACACGGCAATGTACAGCCACGGTTGCGGAGCTGACCTTCCCCATATCGGGCATTCGAGCGAGGACAACATTATGTTTACCGATAGACCCTGTTGAGTATGCATTCGGATCGCCCGGCGCTTTCTCGTAGTCCGGGCCATCATCGTCCCAGTACTGATCGAACAGAGCTTCAACAGCATCTGCTTCGATCGTGAGAGCGCAAATAATGGCGATCTCAAAGCCGAGGCGGTTTTTGGGACGTATTGGCTCCATGATTAAGGCCAGCACTTCTCAAAGAAATATATCAAGGGGGTTTTGTAAGAAAATTTGCGGGAAAAGAATAAAGTGGAGTTGCTCGTCCCCCAATCTTCTGCAGGTGGTGAAAAGTGTATCACGTGTTAGATGCAGGACGGGGGTATATGAGCTGTTAGATGTCTGGTACTTGTTATGAATGGTCAAATGCACTATCAAAGAAACTCACAAACCCGACCGGCCGAAGTCTTCCACAGCCGATTGGGAAAATGGCACAATTAATTGCTCCCTACCATGTGGTTCTGCAACCTATATACTCTTAAGTTGTAAGCCGAATTCACGATTTAGTCTTGATAGGTAATACCAATATCATCTCTATTCATTAGCCTAGCCTATTGTAATTATAAAGAACGGCCTAATAAGATACCTGGACATTCAAGTAACGGTTGCTGCTTATGCTAGTTATCTCTGCCTTTTTGACTAGTAGTCCTCAAGATAGTCGCCGTACAAGGCTCGGACGACAAGTTCAAGGTCTTCCAAGTCTCGCTGGCTCAGGCTGTTAAGATAATCGAAGTCACGTTCCTCGAAGTCGCGCTTCTCTTGCTTCTTCTTCGTTTGAGCGACTTGCATAGCAGAGTTGGCGGCCGCGTTAGCACGGTTGTAGCTCTTGCCTTGCTGGTTGGAGACAGAAGTAATGACATGGCCAACGCCTTTGGCAACGCCTTTGGCGAGCTTTGTGAGGCTCTGAGCAAAGGCTCGGGCCTCAATATCGTTGATATCACGCTCTTCGATGTCCTCCCAGTCACGCTCATCAAGCTCCTCAACGTCCCGCTCTTCGACGTCCTCCCAGTCACGTTCATCAAGCTCATCAACATCACGCTCCTCAATATCTTCCCAGTCGCGTTCCTCAATGTCCTCAAGGTCACGCTTTCCCGTTTGAGTCTTATGAGTGTTGGCAACAGCCATGCCAGTATTGGCAGTAGAGAGAACACGATCAAATGTTTTGCCTTTGTTCTTCGAGACAACGCTTCCAACAGCCTTGGCAGCCTTCTTAACAACCCCGAAGATTGATCGTTCATCCAGGCCTAGATCTCGGAGAGCAAGGATGATCTCCTCCTCAATGTCTCGCTCATCAAGTTCCTCAAGGTCACGCTTTCCCTTTTGAGTCTTATGAGTGTTGGCAACAGCCATGCCAGTATTGGCAGTAGAGAGAACACGATCAAATGTTTTGCCTTTGTTCTTCGAGACAACGCTTCCAACAGCCTTGGCAGCCTTCTTAACAACCCCGAAGATTGATCGTTCATCCAGGCCTAGATCTCGGAGAGCAAGGATGATCTCCTCCTCAATGTCTCGCTCATCAAGTTCCTCAAGGTCACGCTTTCCCTTTTGAGTCTTATGAGTGTTGGCAACAGCCATGCCAGTGTTGGCAGTAGAGAGAACACGATCAAATGTTTTGCCTTTGTTCTTCGAGACAACACTGCCAACAGCCTTAGCAGCCTTCTTAACAACACCGAAGATTGATCGTTCATCCAGGCCTAGATCTCGGAGAGCAAGGATGATCTCCTCCTCAATGTCTCGCTCATCAAGTTCCTCAAGGTCACGCTTTCCCTTTTGAGTCTTATGAGTGTTGGCAACAGCCATGCCAGTGTTGGCAGTAGAGAGAACACGATCAAATGTTTTGCCTTTGTTCTTCGAGACAACACTGCCAACAGCCTTAGCAGCCTTCTTAACAACACCGAAGATTGATCGTTCATCCAGGCCTAGATCTCGGAGAGCAAGGATGATCTCCTCCTCAATGTCTCGCTCATCAAGTTCCTCAAGGTCACGCTTTCCCTTTTGAGCCTTGTTGGTGTTGGCAATAGTCATGCCAGTGTTGGCAGTAGAGAGAAGACGGTCGAATGTCTTGCCTTTGTTCTTGGTGACAGCCTTCGTGACCTTGACAATAGGAGTGAGGACCTTCGTCAGCAAGTTTCGTTCATGAAGTTCCAGGTCACGGATGGCCAAGTCAATGGATCCGTCAGCCTGGGCAGCATCGCGGACAGCAATATCGCCCCGGCGAGCGACAGGTGCAGCGACAGCTTGCTCAGCAAGGCTGAGAAGAACAACGGCAGGGATAGAAACTTGCTTAATGCAAACCATCTTGAATGTATAGAGAATATATGGAGTAGAAAAAAAAAGGGGGGGGTATAGAGATAAAAGGAAAAAATAGACTTTTATTGACCAGCAATAGTGTATGAGAAAAATGTAGCAAAGAAGCGAAAAGAGACCAGCTCTGTAAGGATGTTGTTGTTTTAGTGGTGTTTGATCGAGTGATGAAGAGAAAGGTTTTGTTTGTAGGAGGGGAATGATCGACTTAATATACTTCGTGGAATACTCATTGGATCTGTCAAAGATGCTGTAAGGCTATGTTTAGCTCCAGTACACTACGACCTTTGTGGTAAGCCTTGGCAGATTTCGGATGATCACCTTCATCCTATCTAAGTTACCCATGTCTGATGTATTCCGGTTACAAACGAAGCGGCGTGCGGAGCCTTGTAAGTAAAAGTGGGATACGAGCATCCAGGTTTGCTTGGCCCTTTCATGCCTGTCCGTTATCAAGCGTCCCATGGTGAATCTTTCATGGGTTACCAACTAGCCCAGAGCTATTTCACACGACTACGTAGATCAGTTCATCAACAATCAAGGAGTGGGCAAATTTGTACAAGATCTTAACGAGAATTCGAATCCAACGAAGCACTGTTATGTCCACTGGTGTGAATCTAGATGCAACTGGTGATTCGTGAAACACCAAGAGCTTACAGCTAGGTGCCTCTGCTCCGTGAGGACGAGGAATTGGAATGGCAAAGATGCCACCTAGTCGGGCAGGTAAACGCATATGGGTAAGGGTGATTCCACAATGGTAAGTGCGGGACTGGGAACAATAGGCACCCGGGGCATATGCAGATGAAACATATGCGGGATTACTAGAGTTGCAACTATGCCTATTCTGAAAGTCGTGTCTTGAGCTTCAACTAGGCTGGTGATTCCAACGATCTAGGGGCTTTGGTCACTTTTGCAGGGGTCCCTTCCTGGCCTAACTGCTACGGGGCACATTTCTGAGTGCGTGTCTTGAGAATTAGCACAGCATTTAACTCATTACCACCTGCCTCCTGGGATTTGTTGATGACTACAGAGTGTCCCTTTCCAGTTCAACATCCCAGTCCTTGGCCTTTTCTACTACATGTGGCACATGTGGCACAGGGCGACCCGTATGACCGTGTCACCGCTGTTCTTGTGGAAACTTGAGGCTGGGCTGGGGTCACTAACTCCTTGTTTCGATTTTTGAACAAAGTCACCCCATGTGTACTTGTTGATTGCAATCCTAGGTCATCATACTCCAACGGATCTGACCGAGTAGCGTTACTAGTGTGATCTCGGACTAAGTTGATTCTCCCATTATCCATCATTCAGCCCTGTGTGGTTATCAACTGAAGATCCCAATGTATTGTTCCCAGCTGCCATACCTTTCTGGAAGCATCACCAACGCAGTCCAACGGCACAATAGATTTGCCGTGCTGTGCCGCCCCTATCTGGGTAGGATCTGTCCCGCAACTGGGTTGAGACCAAAGGTCAAACCGCGCCGCAGCTTCGACTGGACGTAATTGTCGTACTGCAGCACACCCTGCCACGCGAATTTGGACATTTCGGTACTGGGAAATCCGCTATGTGCCATCGTATCACGTAAATAGGTGATGGAGGGGAAGGTGTTGATGCCCAGAAGTGGGGAGCTTCTGTCGCCACGACGTCTGACTGTTCGGGAGATTGCCAATCAATACCGGATCTGTTGGTTTTACCTAAGCGGATATGTGCGCCCTTCTCACAGCTGAAAACCAGGCCCACGATCCTTTCTCCTTGGTCTCCCCAGGTGAAGCTAGCGGTTGATTGGTACAATCTTACACATGAGGCGGAGTGCCACACCTGATGCGAGGTCCGTAACAGTTACTAAATGGGGACGTGTTGAGTTTGTGTGGGGACTCTGGAGAGGACACGCACTTGACGTTTCGGAGTATATTTTTAGATCACCAGATATCTCCGGCTCCATTAGGGGTTCCAGAAGACTCGCCTAAAAGATGATATTTGATGGGCAGGAGACCCGAAGCCGTGGACGTTAATTGATGTCGTGGGAAATGGCCCCCAATACTCTGTGGATGCAGGCCGTATCTGGTTGGTTGGTGCAGTGCGTGTAATAATAATGCGCCGAACTTTGGCAGAACCAACAACCAGATCGCGTGCATACCCGTCCGATTTTATCTTGTTGGTTCGGCACATGAATTTAATCGAACCAACAAACGTATGACCTGCATATCCGATTGCCTGTTGGTTCAGCAACAGTTCGGCAGATGTGCTCCGCCACACCAGCCAACAAATTAATTATCAACTTGTAGATACCGTAGTTGTTTTAGGTGGGCGCAGCGCAAGATGAGAGCACCTCGCCACAGGCCTCACGAACGAATGAGCCAATTTCTACCATGATCGGCTGTAGAATGTTATTGGCCGCATTGTTGCTGGGGCTGGCAATTATTATTCATCTGCCTGGCCTGGCTCAGACGGAACTACTACCGGCGCTCAGGAGTCAGGAGAAAGTGGCGGTGGGTGGCTAGTCATGACCCCTGTTCCATGACCCCAGTCGCACGCTGGTCCTTGCATCGTACGTGCGAGGGAAATGGTGAGAGTGTGGTTCTTCAGGTCTTATCACGAAGTTCTTTTTCCATTTACTCTTCGACTGATGCAGAATCTCCTGCAGTGTTGCATTGCAGGATTTGGTGAGCCAGCCAAGCTGTGTCGGCCAAGCCCGACGTGCAGAGAGGATAATTAGAATCTTACATCACGGCTGACTGGCTGCAGACACAAAGGTCCCCGCCCACCATCCGAAGCCGCTCATTTGTTCGGTGCCGAGGAGGAATGGTGTGAGCCAAATTCTAAGTGCAGCCACGTGTAGCTATTTCGTCATCATATCCACTCGGATAATTTTAGCATACCATCATCCACACTCACTCTCCGCCCATTTCTCTGCCTCACAGTGACAAAGATGAACCAACAAGCTTGGGGGGGTTTCCAGACTCATGTTGCAGTATATGAAATTACCTGCAAAATATCATTTCAATAATTATTCATTATTCATTCTCGTTTCACTATATTCAATCTGGTTTCCAAACATCTCTTCGTTCTTAAATGTATTGTAATAAATTAATTATTGGTTATGGTCCATTTTGTTTCAACTATAGGGTAACATGTTATCGCGGAACTAATTCATGTCACTGCTCAATTATGCCTTGTTTTAACTAGGTAGGTAGTAAACAGGGGAAAAACACTTAAAGAACTGCATACGTAAATGTATAGTTTTTTAAGTTGCTAGAATGTTATAGGTTGCTGGCTGGCCGCTTGGTTGCCACGAAGAGTTAAATCTGATCCGTGAGAATTAGTTGTCGCACACTCTTCCCGCTCCATGTCGATGATTCCCCCCATGAATCCACACTCCGCGGTAGATCTCAACCTCCCAACTTCCGAGGATTCTTCCGCAACTGCAAGTCTAGTTTCTCCGCCATCTAGTATAATTCTACCAATTTTGAAAATAGGAGTTAAGGTGGGTGCTTATGAAGTGGCTAGCTGGAGAGCCTGCCACTTGTCCAAGAAACGTTGCCAGCTTCTTTTCTGGTATTTGTGTACATTATCTTGAAAAGCAGTAAGTAAAAACTATATCAACGCTTCGGCATTAACGTTGAGATAATAGTGGATCCAGTTCTCTGCATTTCCGCCACTTATCTTCTTTCCCTTTATTCATTGTGTTGAGTTGTCGGGCTCTGGCAGCTTCCATTGCTGTTGAACTTTATTCTCTTTCTCTTAGGTAGGTAGGTAGGTATCTTCTTTCCCTTTATTCTGACGAGCTGAGACACCATCACTGAGCCACGCCAAGCCAACAACTGAAATGCCTCAATTTGGAAAGAGGAACGGCGGCGTAAGAGGGCACAGGCAGCGAGGAAAATGTTGGAAGAGCGTCTTACCAAAGAGATTGCTGGACCAGATGCAGAGCTTGAAGTGTTCAAGGAGTTATCATTCAAACACTCAAGCAAACAACAAGCCCCAATCATGATGTTCAGCACTATACGCCCACCCCATGGAGACGCCGTTTGACCTAATCACATTCCCTTATCTCGAACAGTTACTCGCTCTCCATCTCATCGAAAACTATAAGTCAGTCTCCTGGATTAAACCACCCTGTCCATCCACTAGCTTAACCATTTAGTCCTCTCGTTTACTTAAGTGACATCGACACGCTACATATAACGCCCTCATTTTAACTTCAGTTTCATCCTACATATAAAACTATATAATTTTCAGAGAACGAAAATACCTCATGCGCTACAGCTTCTTATATATTTTTCATACATCTTATCTTATAGTAGCTAAGTAGATATAGCAATAAGCTTCTTTAAATTATGATTCAACGACTATATAAGTACTATTAGGTCGACAAGTGTTGTAACAATGAATGTAGTAGCGTCAAGCTCTCAAAAACCATGGACCCTTTATACACCTAATTTCGGAATGTCTGAGTATAATTCATCCATCTCAATGGTATCAGGCTATATTCCCTGCTGTGAGTGTTCTGCGTACCATTAGAGTGTATGATTTGCACAAATCTGTTCATTTCAGGGAGTCGTAGAAGTCTTTTTCTTCCCCAACGACTGGAATCACGGATACATTAGAACAATGCCGCATTTTGATCCATCTTCCAGATCACAAGTATATATTCCGATATTCTGACCGACCGAAACAAACTGGAGCTAGCACGTATTACAAAAAGCATATGCCGTATGCAGCAGTAAACCTAAGCACGTGGCCCGAAGATAAATCATGTTCGCTAATCGGAATGTTGGATGACAGCATGCCCATTATTTATAGTGAAGACAAGCAGGAACTCGTCCGCCTGCAGGAGTAAAAAAATCAAACTTCGCACTACCAACCGCGCCCTCTTTGTTTGGGATGATCCCCGTGAAGAAGCTGAGATATCTGGCACTACCATTCTATGAATTTTCCAGATCAATCGAATATGTCTATTGAGTTCAATGACTTCTCTCGCATTTTTTGTCAAGAATTAA